TATATTAAGCCTTAAAGTTCTGCATTATTATGGGCGTGGCCGCTTTGTCTGACAGGCACCTTTAGCCGCTGCCACTGCTAGCATGCGGTCCGCCGTCTGTTAGCCACACTCAGCTACACAGAGCTCTGAGGCTCAGCCTGTCGGAGCTTTTTGGACATTTCTACATGCAGATACCGGATGAATAATGGCAGGCTGGCTGTGCAGTTCATTGGAGAGGGAACCTCCAGGAAATCAGTGTTCTACATGGTGAGTGAAATTCCTGTATTTTATTTATGTGTTAACATTTAACAGGTATCGCTGTCAGCATATCGCTTGTTAGCTTAACGTTAGCTCGTTACGCCAATTAGCCAGATACGAGCAGCCCCAAGCTGCTAAGTTAGTGTGTTCTAACTGTAGCTTTTAATGAGTCAAAGACAAGTCAGCAAGAAGAGAGAAGCCAAAATGTAAAGTTATTAGATTAACCGTAGTATTAGACATTAGGGTGATAATACTTTGAAGTAAAGGCGTCTGTGTGAAGTTGTAAGTAAAGTCTCGTCTCAGCTCTGAGTTAGCTGACATTATTTTAACGGTAACTTTTACTAACAGGCGATGTGAGATTTAACTACGTCCTGTAACGGAATCACTGTTCAGTTAGATACTAGTCAGATACTATTATAAGTGGCTGCACCTGATCCCGATGGACACAAAGGGTTTAAAGGCAGAGAGCCGAGGGGGGAGCGGCTGTGGAGTTCTGCCTGAAACTGTCACACTGAGGAGCACCGATGCAACTATTTGAGCTCGCCATAAGCCATCCACCTCCAAGTGTAACGTTACTGTTTAAAAACGATAACGTTATACTATTCTTTGCGGAGTTCATGTGGGGATGATTGATTCAAAGTACATATTAAAGGCAGTTTAGAGTCAATAAGTTTTTACACTTAGTAGATGTAGCATTCCTTGAGATTCAGCAAACAATCTGAGGTGATAACTGTGTTTGATCAGCGATGTTTCTGATAAGGAGCTTAAGAGGTGGATGCATAATTCGGCAGAACAGCTGCTGTAGGTTACATGCAGAGATTTTCATCCACCTTTAACTAGGGCAATGGTTTCGTTAAGGTGAGAAATTAGGTGTGTGAGAGCCGCCTCGGAGTTTGTTTGGTGGATTAGAATTTGCCAAAAAAGGTAGTACAGTTCAATAAGAAATGTAAAATAAGATCCTTATAATGAATGTTCAATAAGATCTGGCTTGAGTAGTTATTATTGCACAGTGTCCAGCAGAAAAACGTATATTGCACATATTAGTTAACAGTGTATTTCACATTGCCACCCCTAATTACTGTCACATGCCAGAGAGGTTATCATGCTGAGGTGATCTCAGAGTTCAGTAGCTTTATGGCTCTTTGGAAGAAGCTGCTTAAGTGTCTACCCATTGTTGTCTTTACAGGTGCCAGAGGAGCTGACTGCAGAACCCTCCAGATGTAGTTTAATTTATTAAACTATTGCTTTTGTATTGTTATAAAGTGTATTAAACTAATTATACATAATAAAATCATTCTTCATTCATCATCAGTTTCATATTTTAATTTTAAATAGTGTGATCTAAACTTAATATATTATAGTTAACATCTGTAAATGAAAATATCATTATACATATGTTAGTAGAAAGTAAAAAATGAAAGGTTGATGTTATGTATGTATGTTTCCTCGCCAGTCTTAAACACAGGACAAGAATCGTGGGGCAAATAAGAGTTTGCAGTAGTGAGGTTATACTTTACTCTATCTTTCCTACTCTTGATGTGCTATTTCTTTGCACTTTTACTGAGCAATCCACTAGAATCTGAAGGCCGGCTGAGCGAGATCAAACAACTGGGTGTGTGTCCCACCCACTGAAACCAAGCTTTTGTCTTGTTAATCCGGAGGGCGATCCAAAGCATTTAACAGAGTACTTGTACTTCTGTTGTACTCTTAAACTCAGGTCAAGAAGCTGACTTTATCACTGCTTATGCTAACACATTATCTCTTGGGATACTGGCGCTAACTGAGACCCTGATCAAAACAGAAAACTCTGCTACCCCCGCTGCGCTGTCCACCAACTACTCTTTCACCCACACCCCCCGACCGTCTGGGATGGGGGGTGGGACTGGGTTCACACAGCTGCTACCTCCGAATCAAAATGCCTCCTTCGAATACCATGCTGTCTCATGTGATAATACTGGCTTCAGGAACCTTCCCGACCACTTTCAAAAGGGCCCGGGTTACACCCTTGTTCAAAAAGCCCTCACTTGACCCAACTCAAGTTGAGAACTATCGACCAGTGTCTCTTCTACCATTTTTATCCAAAACTATTGAACGGGCAGTATTCAAACAAGTCTCAGAATTCCTCTCACGGAATGACCTCCTAGATCCATACCAGTCTGGTTTTAAGAGTGCCCACTCTACTGAAACGGCTCTTCTGTCTGTAACAGAAGCACTAAGGTCCGCTAAAGCTGTAGCCCAATCCTCGGTTCTTATCCTGCTTGACCTATCAGCTGCCTCTGACACAGTCAACCACAGGATCCTGCTATCCGCTCTCTCAGCAATGGGCTTCTCGAGTAAAGCACTCCTGTGGTTTGAATCCTACCTCTCGGGGTGTTCCTACAATGTTTTGTGGCAAGGACAATTATCCTCCTCCCACTGCCTCTCCACAGGGGTGCCCCAAGGCTCAGTGCTAGGGCCCCTTCTCTTTTCAATTTACACCACCTCACTGGGGCCGATCATTCACTCGCACGGCTTCTCTTACCACTGCTACGCAGATGATACGCAACTCTACCTATCCTTCCCGCCAGGCGATCCCACCGTCTCAGCACGGATCACAGACTGTCTCTCGGATATTTCTGCATGGATAAAGGCTTGCCACCTTCAACTAAACCTCTCTAAGACTACACTCTTGGTCATTCCATCTATCCACCATAACATCAAACTACAAATTGACTCCTCAACCATCACTCCAACCAAGGTGGTAAGAAACTTCGGTGTCATGATTGATGACCAGCTGTCCTTTTCAGACCATGTTGCTGCTGTCTCTCGGTCATGCCGCTTTGCTCTATACAACATAAGGAAAATCAGGCCCTACCTCACTCAGTACGCCACCCAGCTTCTGGTACAGGCCATGGTTATCTCTCGCCTCGACTATTGCAATGTCCTCCTAGCAGGTCTTCCAGCTTGTGCAGTGAAACCTTTACAAATGGTTCAGAACGCAGCAGCGCGTCTGTTTTTTGATCAGCCCAAAAGGACTCATGTCACTCCATTACTCAGTGACCTCCACTGGCTCCCCGTGGCCTCCAGAATCAAATTCAAGTCACTAATGCTTGCATACAGAGTGACTACTGGGTCCGCACCCATCTACCTAAACTCCATTATACAAACTTACGTTCCTTCTCGGCCGCGACGCTCCTCCAATGAACGCCGCCTGGCTCTGCCATTCCTTCACACAAAGCAATCCCAGTCCCGGCTATTCTCATCTGTGACACCAACGAGCTACCACACACCATCAGAGCAGGGGCGTCCCTCTCTAACTTCAAGAAGATCTTAAACTAATCTCTTCCGAGAACACTTCCTCTTATAACACCTCTAACTCCTAACCTCTAACATGCACTTTCTGTGTTCTTCTTCTATCCCCTACAATGATCTTGTATTGATTGCACCTTTTTGTTTTGATTGCACTTGGTTAACTCTTACTTCCTTCCCTAGGTATTTACCCCATTGATATGTACTATGAGCTCTTACTAGTACTTATTGCTGTTCTTACTAGTATGTATTGTCAGTTGTAGATCTGTATTTGATGCTCTGTTGATGCTTGTATGTTGTTCCTCAAATGTAAGTCGCTTGGATAAAAGCGTCTGCCAAATGAGTAAATGTACTGTTTTATTTTGACATTTCTTTAAGAGACAAATGTGACATTGACTGAGAAGTTACTCTGTTGTGAAAAACAAAGAATTATCTTCACGCTGAATAGTTTTGAAGCCCTGTAGGAGGTGTCATTTATTGCGACCTCTGAGAAGGTCTTGTGTGGGTTACATTGTATAGACTCACCTATTTACTACATGTGCATTCGGTCACCTCTGAGACCTCAGAGTTTGCAAGGTCACAATAAAAACCACCTATGGGGATTCATAATTACTCTGTGCAGCTCATTCTTTGTTTCAGCACTTACCCACAGGATGGTTTGGATGTGCCCACATTATTCTGTGTTTAAACTAGACTTATATCAGGGCAGCAAACAAGGCACTCTTCAGAAACTTCAGGCTCTGTTATACAGTATATGGGTACTGGGTGTATGGCTCTTTATTTATCTTAAAGTATAAGGTAGAAAGTAAAAATACTCCTGCACACACAGAAATACACTGCATAATTACTTTTCAACATTTCATGTGAAACATGTTGGGAGTATTTTCACTTTTCAACTTATCCTAGACTGATGTTCAGAGAGTTCAGCTTAAATGTTTCATGTTTTATCTGTGGTATACAATTGGCTTTTCAGTAAGTAGTAAAGACAGGAAATGCATATATATATATATATATATATATATAATGAGAGAGAATTTATTACAATGTGAACCATAAACTTTTTTTTTTTTTAAATGGACCTATAACACAAATATGGACAATATTTAAAACTCAAAGTAAACAAAAAGAGAGAACGCCTTTCCACGTCAGTCCACGCCAACAGATACAGACTTCCACGACAATAACAAGGCTTCCAGGTCTCTGCAGCTCTCTGGCACCAGGTGGTACATCTGGTCCACAGTGTGACTCTTGGAAGAGAATGTGTAATAAATGCTTCAGGTGATGAAAAATATAAAGTAAATAATATAATAGAAATATAATATAAATAGAATATTGTGGTGAAGTTAATTTTCTAACGTAATTCTATTCAAAAAGTGAATCTCTGATATATTCTAGATTCATTATGCAAAGTGAAGCATTTCAAACCCTTTTTTTGTTTTCATCTTGTTTACGGTTTACAGCTCATGGAAATAAAAACTCCAGTATCTCAAAATGTATAAACATTTTAGAATAAAAATACATTTCTGTATTATAAATTATACAGAAATGTCCACTGGAGAAGAGCTCTCTAATCAGCGAATTAACTCAAAACACCTGCGAAGGTTTCTGAGGCCTTTAATCTCTGTCTGGTTCTGATGTCCACAATGAACTTTTCCCTCAGTATTCTAATTTTTTGAGATGCTCTTCTAAAAGATGCCTCAGTGTTTTAATGTTGACAGCACTATTATGTCACATAAGTGGGAGAAATGGAACAAGGGAGACGGTCTTTAAATGTTTTTGTGTTGTCCTCTTAGAGACAATTTTATCAGCTGTCAAATGTCCAGTAGCCAAGTTGTTCTAGTAACATTACTTACACTTAAAGTAGGCGTGGAGGCATCAGATCCTCAACAAGAATCTTGTGACCAATATAAAAGGTACCTTTCTCTTGAACACAAATACATACAATATAAATATAATAATATTATAGTAATATAATATTATAATACCTATTAAGGAACTGTTTTGGTCAAAGGTCAAATTTCACAGAAATCTTAACTGTTTATTTAGTTTTCACTGTTGCAAGGGGTTTTTAGACTGTAATTTCCCCAAGTTGGTACAGTAAAATGTTGTGATGTATGTACCACTGATAGTAGAGGACACTGTGAAGCAGAAGATATGTAAATTGGTGGTGTCACCTATTAAGGAACTGTTTTGGTCAAAGAAATGTTAACTGTCTATTAAGTTTTTGCTGATGTAGGGGTTTTTAGAGTGCAATATCTCATAGTTGGTACAGTAAAATGTTATGATATATGTACCAGTAATAGTAGAGGACAATAGGAAGGAGATGATATGACAACGATCGTGTCACTTATTAAGGAACTGTTTTGGTAAAAGGCCAAAGTTCACAGAAAATGTTAACATGTTTACATATTGCTGTTGGAGGGAATTTTTAGAGTGCAATATCTCATAGCTGGTACAGTAAAACATTATATTTGTACCAGTGATAGTAAAGGACACTAGAAAGGAGAAGCCATGACAATGTTGAACTAGCTTAACTGCTGAGGAATTAGGCTGGTGAAAGGTCAAATTTCATATAAATTATGTTCACATAATAAAAAAGAAAAGGTTTTTTTTGTATTTGCATTAATAACAAATAATAATAAATTATACTACTATTATCATTATTGTTATTAGTAATATTATTATATTTATGTTGTATGTATTTGTGTTCGGATAATCACTAAGAACATCACAAAAAACGCGTACGTATCTTTCAGGACCTTCGGCTCACTCGCGTTTCGTCCTTACCATAATAACACTGCTTTCGGCGCAACAGAAATCAGACGGCGGCTGACCTGTCCACGGTTTTGCATTCGGCGGCTCACGTTATGCAGCCAGCGTCTCTTTTCCACCTTTGTTTGCAAACCAATAAATCAAAATCAACAGTCAAATAGTCACACAAGTCTCCCCGATGTCAGCCTGAGATCGTATGTTGACATTAAATATATTGGAAATAGCAGCCAGCGTGCAGCGGTGTGTTTACGCTAAATACTGAGTTGTTGTTTTTAGTTTATCAGTCAGGAGGTTTTTACACAGTCGAAGTCGGTCTCCACCTCTCCAAAACAAGCGGAACAGCTGATTACAGCAGGTAGGCCTAATTAAGCTCGTTAAACATCACGTTCCTCCGATGCTCAGGCGACACAGACGTGAGTGTGTATATTCCAGTCAAATCTGATGTACATTTATAATGTTGCTCATGGATAGTGGTTACAAATAATGATGTCTGTGCATCGCTTTGTATGGCTACAGCCTATGTCAGCTGCAGCAGGGGTTGTAGCCAATTCTGTGGTCTGGTCTCTGCCACACCGACCACTGGTCGCTACCACAGTCTCTAAGGGAAGGCTCCTTTCTGTTCCTTGTTACACAAACTGTGGCTGTACACAATAAAAAAGGTCAGTTTCAAGTTTTAATACAGTCTATGGTTCCAAAGTAGACCTAAAGTGACCTTAGATCATTTAAATGATCTCAACTGGCAGATGATACAATTTTTTTTTTTGTCTAATAGAGAGGAATGGATCAAAGCAATTAGATGTGTTGAGGAATTTTCTACTGTATCAGGCTTAAGAATGAACTTGAACAAATCTGTTTATTAGGCTACCACTTAAGGAATGTGAACTATCAGAAGTTAAAGATATCCCTGTGAAGAACCCAGTTACATACCTGGGTGTGATAAGAATGAAAAACTCTGCAATAACCTAAACTTCAGCCCTATGATTAAACAAATAATGAGAAAAGGTTCAACATGTGGTGGATGAGGCATTTTTCACTGAATGGTAGAGTTCTACTATCTAATACTGAGGGAATATCCAGATCTATGTATCCTTATGACTGGAAATGGCTACTGAAATATACAAAGAATTAGATAAGATATTATTTAATTTCATTTGGAGGAACAAATGTCATTATATAGGGAAAGAAAACCTATGCAACATAAAAAATTGAGGTTGAAGTTTTGAAACCTTAAACAATACTTTCCAGTTAGTTAGTTAAATGGCTAACTAAGTTGATGAAGAAAAAAGATATATATCCATAAATTACTGTGAAGTTATCAAACTTTTATTAACAAGCTCTAATGGCCTGGAAATTAATAGATAGTATTTTATTCACATGATTGCCATTATTCAATTCAAAAACACCAAAGTATGAAGAAGACATCGCAAAGCAGACTTAATCTTTTAAGTTGGCCAGAGAGGGCATGAGACGAGGCTCCACAGTCTTGGGTTGCTGCCACACAGACCAATCACTGCTGCCGCAATGGTCGGTGTGGTCACTGCCACTAGGGGCGCTGAGGATAGTGGTCGCTGCCACACTGACCACTGGTTACAGTTGGTTATATCTACTGTAATGCATCTTTATCATAATTCTTTGTTAAATATACTATGTTATCAATTATGCCTACTCTTATTGTTGCACTATATATTGCGGTCTTTAGCGCCCCTAGTGGCAGCAACATCACACCGACCAGTGTGGCAGCAACATCACACCGACCAGTGTGGCAGCAGTGTGGAGCCTCATCTCATGCCCACACGCACAAACACACACACAGCAGTCCACTACTTGCCTGTCATGTCTGCGATATTGCAACAAAGTTTGAGTTTCAATAGCGTGAAAAATGCCACCAAAGACTATTGCTCAAGGAGAGACGCAATTTCGCCCTTTATGGTAGGTATAATATTTAAGTGTTATTATTTTACGCACTGATGGCCGCCGGCACACAATAGCAAGCATATTATCATACGTAGTGCTGTACTAATTGGAGGATGCATCAAAAAGCCAATAATGCTAAACGAATAAGCAGCAGTCAATACAGAGTCTAATTCTTCGCGGCCTTAACCTGTTTGTTCAAAACTGTGAGCACGATAGTGGCTGATGGTGGAGAAGTGGATCCTGTCAGTCATGCGGTGCGCAGCGTAAGGTAGTTTATTAGGAAAGTATGCTCATTTAAGTCTGTTTATCTTTTTAATGTAAATAATAAACAGATTTGTTCAAGTTCATTCTTAAGCCTGATACAGTAGAAAATTCCTCAACACATCTAATTGCTTTGATCCATTCCTCTCTATTAGGAAAAAAAAAATTGTATCTGCCAGTTGAGATATTTAAATGACTTAAGGTCACTTTAGGTCTACTTTGGAACCATAGACTGTAAGAAAACTTGAAACTGACCTTTTTTAATGTGTACAGCCACAGTTTGTGTAACAAGGAACAGAAAGGAGCCTTCCCTTAGAGACTGTGGTAGCGATCAGTGGTCTGTGTGGCAGAGACCAGACCACAGAATTGGCTACAAGCCCCTCTCGTTAGCTGGTTAATTTGCCTAATTAATGAAATGAAAACGCACACAACAGTGTTGTGAGCTGAAGGAACCTTGTAGATCATTGAAAAGAGATCTGGGGACTTAAAAGTCCCCGGTACCTTTGGTCGAACAGCGGCTATAGAGCCTCCTTAGGGAAGAAAGGAAGGAAGACTTACCTTAATTATGCGTCACTCATTCACTCTCTCTGGGCCTTTCCACAAGTACTTGCTCTTCCCTACCCTTACCTACTTCCACACTGTTTGCTTGTCTATGCAGACGGTCCGACACATAATCAACTAACATGATTAATGCTGTCTCATTCCCACTTGCACTCAATCATTTACCAGGTGACATCTGTTAAGTCTGTGAGGGTTCAGGGCTGAGGGTTTAGGAGGGACATTGATATTGGGCCATTATATTTTCCATAGAAAATAAAGAGGTTCAACATACATGGCCTACTCTTTTACAATCAATATAAATCATTTCATAAAAATATAGAATGTCTCTTTTTCATAAATAAATAGCTGAGCTAGCCAACGTCTTAAAGAAATATTCAAAATCTAACCAAAATAATTTGGTACATATATTAAAATAAATGACAAATGTTCACACACTTTTCTTCAACATCAATCCTGAATTATAATCAGTCAACTGTTGTATGAAAGCAGTGAATGATAGTACTGCTCAAAAGTCAGATCCTATTTCTGCTAGAGAGAGGGAAGTTCATCCAAAACTTGGTTGTATTTATACCCTATGCGTTAAAGGAACTTGATATGGCTGTGAGGGTGATTCGGACCAGAGGACACTCCGTGAGGGAGAGGAAGTGGCAAGGGTCTACTTTCGGGAAAGCACTTTCTCTTATAAACACTCTTTCTCTTCCTGCCCCTATCAGCTGACTATGGGCCTTCTCACCTAGTTTTACAATCAGGTTTCACCGCAATCAGCTCAGCCAATCATGAAGTCACTATCACACTTTAAATCTGTTCTCTCCTCTGCTGACAGCTTTCATTTCAGTAGGCCTACGAATCACTGCGCCTCTCCTTCACCCCATTCACCTGCTGCTCAGCAGATCCAGGCTCACTTTAGCTCAGCAGAATCCTTCCCCTCTTCTCATCCTGATACCCAACATCTTCTTCACCTATTCATCTCACCGCCGCCAGTCTCTACACTCCACTGGGAGGAGGAGGATTTCTATGCCTCTGCAGCTCCACCCCTTTTTAAAATACTTCATCATCACGATGGGGTCTAATCGCTAAAAATGAAATTTCAAATTCTTATCCCAGTGTATCATATATTAGGAAATTATTGTTATTCACTCAATCAAGTCTCTGATTGAACTACAGTCTTTAGACAATTCACCTGACCTTCATGTCTTTGGACTGTGGGATGTCCCTTCATCACCAGTCTTCACCAGTAGATAAACCCTGCTGTGCCTCCTAACAGCTTAATTCAGCCATAGCCCCCCTCCCTGTAACCTTTACTGTCCAACATCCACATAATACATTTTGACAATCACGTTTACGTTCTTTCCAGTGATGGTAAACAACTTTATCCAAACCATTGAGTATAATCCCTCATGTTGACAATAGAAGGAGAATAACACTCACATTAACATGAGATACTTTACGTGTTTTTTCTCTACATGTGTATGTGATATTTTCAAAACATATGTGTGCTTTGTAGCCAATAAAAACCCAAACAAATTTTGTACTGAAAACAAGAATCCAGTGTGTATGTTTTCTCTCTCTTACTGGGCGGAGCAGCTGAGTAACAGCTGGCCTCAGAGGGAAACCAGAATAGAAGAGGGAAACATTTTTACAACAAAGAAACAACGTGCCAAATCTTGATGGACTACAAGTGAAACATTCCTTGTGGTTTTAGCTGCAGCGTGGTTATTAACACTGTGGGTGTGGGTGTAAAATAAACACACAAGCAAAGACACCACAGGTCTATGATTTAAGTGGTACTATCCTTTAAAACTGAGTAATGACTGTAATATCACATATTTAAGGTGCAAAATGTATTTTTGCATAATGTTCTGTTTTCACTGCCAAGTTAAACATCTTCTGTCAGTTTAAACTTTTATACTTATTGTTTGTGTTTATACTTATTTCCTTTTGTGATGAAATGCATTTGTTAACATATCAGCTCACGGTAGTTTAAACAATAAAAATGCTTTCCTCAATTACCACAGTAAACAGATAATGTGGTTGTGACTTGGTTTCTGTCTTTTGTCACTTGACTTCTTTCTCTCTCTCTTTCTTTCCGTCTCTCTCTCTCTGAGTCATCCTTCTCAGAAGTGTGTTCACAGTGTGCGGCGCTACAAGACTCAGCTGGATTTAAACTGGACTGATTCCCAACCCTCTGGCCAGAGGAGCAAAGTAGTGACTAACGGTAAGACTGGTTTCAGATTCTTAGGTGATTCTTGGGTGTATTTGCATTACAGACAAAGCCTGTACTGTACTATAATCCTGTAATGTTGTAAACATTTACAAGTAATTTGCAATTTTATATTTGATTGAATCGGATTTCTTCTATTTGTGCCAATCCGAGTATTCCCCGTAGATTTAAATTGAATCAAGAATGTATTTTAGCTGTAGGTTGCTTTATGTTTATCTTTTATGTTAGAGCTGATGCATAAGATACAAAGAATGACAGATCTAACTTGTATTTTTTGTTGAAAAAAATGAATGAATGAAAAAAGAGCTCAGTGTTCATTAGGGTATACGCGTAAGGCATAATTTCATAATGTTCCCCTCACATTTATTGTATTGAGATGATTTTCTTACTATTGTCTCTCTGCACATTGTTCTCTTACTGTCCTGTACTGTTATTCCTCCATCACTGCATGTTATACACCATCATATATTTGTATGTAGCCTATGCATATTTATTTGCAAGTAACTTGTAACTATCTAAAGATGTATTTATGTTTAAGGCAGAGCTAGGAAAAAGTTAATTAGTTACTCTACTGCATCTGTTAGATAAACACCATGGAGTAAAAAAGTACTTCCTTCTTACTTGTAGTCGAGTAGAACCATAAAGAAGCATATAATGAAAATACTCAAGTAAAGTAAATACCTCAAAATTGCAAAAGTACAATACTTGAGTAAATGTATTTAACTACTTTGCACCATTGCATTTATTATGTGGTCAACCAGTGCTAAGGTACTCAGTTACTAAATACTACTACTTTAATAATTGATGGCTGTGTTTGAAGAGGTGTCCTTGTTTCAACTAGCCATTACAAATCTTCAGCGTTTTAATTTACGCAGAGCAGAAATCTCATCTGGGGGATCTCCACGGGAATTGGATAGTTTATACAATCTGTACTACGTATCCTCCTCTGCACTTTGAACTTATCACGCTGCAGAGAGGCCAGATTAACTCACATTATTTATCTGGGCGAAGGCACAACAGGGAGGAACAGTTGAGGTCAGGACATGATGTCCAGATGTTGACGGTGATGTTATCACGGCACAATAATTAGCCCACAATCACAAAATCATTTGCAGACTTGAATGTCTCTTAAGATATATTTTCCCCAAACTACAGGTTTACTTTGTGTCCATGTACAGTATTTTCCTGTTTTGGAACAAATAAGCTAATTTCTGAAAGTTTTATTGTAACCGCAACATGAAATCCAGACTCTGGCTCCACAGTTGCTTGTGGCATTAAAGTAAATTATGATGACATTTGTGACTTTTGGCCCTTTAACATGTGTGTTCCCTCTTGGTTTAAGATGTTTTCTCTGTCAACTCTAAGTGTGAACACAGTATTGCTCAAGCTCAAAGATGTGTCAAAATGATCATTTTTGAATATTGTTACATAAAAATTCCTCTTTTTTTCTCCAGTCCTGCCATTTTTACAGACATGTCTGAGCTAGCCGCAATCCCTTGACATGCACATTACGTTTAGCCTGCAAAGGTCTATAGATTACGGTACGGGAAATGGTGTTTGTTAGAGTCCATTAAAAAACAGGAATCCTAGATAAGTAACCATATTAGGTCCTTATCTAAATATATGGAGTGAACTTCACAACATACGTTTGAGAAAGTCTGTATTTCAAGGCTGGATATTTAGTTAAGCGTTGTTACAAATTTCAGTGGGATTTTGAATGATTTTTTGTTACCTCTGGAACAGAATCCAAAAGTTCTGGTTCCACTTTGTCTCTCTATAAAACTGCATTTGACCTTTAAGCGCGGGTTGCTAGCAACGCAATATTAGAGTAGGTCTGGAGCTCACGTAGCTATATTCACGGTCACTTCTTTTCACAATCCAATCAAATTTCAGAGATTTCAGATCTTGTCAGTAAATCCTGCCCACATACCATTTGCCATTTACCGTTTCACTCAGACATTTCTCACATTGCAAAAGCTAAAGGTGGTCTAACTGCCATTTCACTGTGACTTAAAGTACAACAACTGAAGAAATGTACAAAGTTTCTCTCCAACATTTTATGTACATTGCTGCACCAGCAGAGCTGTGAATGTTTTAAAGCCAAAGATAAGTGATTGAAAATGTCCTCCCTTACAGCTTCATCTGAATAGCATGGATGTCTCAGAGGACGACTACTATTACCATGAAAACATCAGTTTCAACTTCAGCTATGATGACTACCCCACCCTCTGTGAGAAGGGTGATGTCCGTTCCTTCGCAGCCCTCTTCCTACCGATCATGTATACCGTGTGTCTGGTGGTGGGACTGGCTGGAAACACCTTAGTCGTGGCTGTCTACGCCTACCACAAACGCCTCAAGACCATGATGGACACCTTCCTGACCCACCTGGCTGTGGCCGACCTGCTCCTGCTCTTCACGCTGCCTTTCTGGGCTGCTGATGCGGCGAGGGGCTGGGAGCTGGGCGAGGCGGTATGTAAGATCGTGTCGGCCTGCTACACAGTCAATTTCACCTGCTGCATGCTGCTGCTGGCCTGCATCAGCATGGATCGCTACTTGGCATTAGCCAGGGCGCACGGTGAGGACCGAAGAGGGCGGCTGCAGAGGATATTCACCAGGAGACACTGTTGGAAGGTGTGTTTAGTTGTTTGGGCGACAGCTTTCATGCTCGGTCTTCCTGATTTAATACTCTCAGAAGTGAGATGGGCGTCTAATCGGAGCGTGTGTATGGCCATCTACCCTCCAACAATGGCTGGAGTGGGGAAAGCTGCACTGGAGATGACAGAGGTGCTGCTGGGATTCCTGCTTCCTCTCCTGGTTATGGTGATCTGTTACTGGAGCGTAGGCCGAGCACTAAAGGTGCTCCCCATCGAGAGCAGAGGCAAGAAGTGGAAGGCTCTACGTGTTCTCCTGATAGTAGTGGGGGTGTTTGTGGTCACTCAGCTGCCTTATAATGTGCTGAAGTTGTATCGAGCGATGGACTCAGTCTACGCCTTAGTGACCCACTGTGGTACGAGTAAATTGTTGGACCAGACGGCTCAGGTGACTGGGAGCTTGGCCCTCACTCACTGCTGCCTCAACCCGATCCTGTACGCCTTCATGGGGTCCTCCTTCAGGCAGCACATGCTGAAAGTGGCCAAGAAGTTTGGCGAGAAGAGGAGGAAGAGGAGGCCAAATCCTGCAGAGGAAGGCATGGATATGTCATTTAACTCCCACAGTGCATCCCAAGAGACAAACACATTCTCAATATGAGTTACCACTTGTGGCACTATGTTGGAAAGTCATTAAGTTGTACATATTTTTGACGTTTTAACTCTCAATTCCCTGCACACCATAAACAGGAGGTTGTTACTGTTAAGTCTTTTCCTCCTCCAGTTTATTAAAAATTAGTTCAAGCAATATATACATTTTTTTTGTCTCTGTCTGTACTTTCAAGCAATAAAGAACAGTATGTTTTTTTTCTCTCAAGTGAGTGATGAATACAATATGTTTGTTTTGATGTTTTTATACCCGGGTCCAAAAGGTGATTAAACAAGACTAAAAGTCTACAGACATGCCAGCAGCTCTGTGAAACTGTAGCCCACTTACAGCTGCGATGCTTTGAGCACGTTTAGCACGTATAATGTTTACCATCTTACTTACTTAACACAAATTAGACCACAGACCTATTTGAAACTTGCCTTTAGATGTTTTATTACAGAAAGTGTAGCAAACCTCTATGACCAAAATAGTCATACATGCTGTCATTATGTTACTAATGGATGGAAATAAAATGAAAACTTTTTAAAATAGTAGCCATAAGAATTAACTATTTGAACTTTGATACAGAAACAAGGTCTATAAAGTCAAAAAAAACCTTTGCAGGATGACTCACATGCTTGGATTTGGTTGTGTTTAGTTTTTTCGAGAGGTAACCTCCAGAATTCCACAAGAAATATTCAACACTCTTTCCCAGTTACCCACACGGTACAAAGTACAAATAAGATTAATGCTTGAATTTGATACTCTTCATTACACACTATACAGCTAGGAATGAAATCAAAGAAAAACGAGATCTATTTGTGAAACTATGAGTGAGCTGGAACTTTGCTCCTTTGGAGAAAAACAACTTTTTAACCTTTTAAATGTTGCTGTAATCAACTTAATACTCCTGATCCACTTGATGTTGCACTTCTGCACATGCTATAAACCAGATGTACTACACATGCACCACTGATATGTAGTGAGAAAGCATGATTTTGTTCCAGTTGAACTATGCGCTTTCTGATCATGTGTTTTATTTATAAGCTCAAGCACATATAAAATCATCTCCCAGAGAGCTTTTTTTGCACTGGTGGTAGTGCAGAGTCTTTAGCCAAATCTACATGTACATCCAGTGGGATTTAACTCCCTTTCATGAGGGAAAAACAGCTTTGTTGTTTCCTGAATTCCTGAGAACATCTGAGACACATTTGCTCCCCATGTGCTTTGCAGTTTACCTCTGAGCAGACAGACAATTCTGCACAACAGACTACACAACTTCAAGTAACCTTTTTATGAGTTGATGTTTTGGTTTAAAACTGGGGTGGCAAACATTCAAACATTTAGTCATACAAAGGTAAAAGGTCCAGTATTAGCAAACACTGTATAAACATTGTTTTTCTTTCCCTTGCCAACTTGTTGCAACATACCCTTGTTCAAAGGGTTGTTTGTATACCCCTTAAACAACAAGGCAGTTCAGAGTGCTTTACATAACACAGAAAGGTATGATAAAAATATATAAGATACACAACAATATAAAAAGATTATTTTGCTCTTATCTTTGTTAAACTGGAGGACATTTTGGCACATTTAATCATTGATTTGTTGAATGCACTTCATCAGTGTTTCTATACATACAATCTGTATACAAGTAAAGAGGTATCCTCATTTACAATGGCGTCGAGATGTAAAACAATGTTTGCAAACAAAATTGCTAACAATAAAAACAACAATGTATGATAGCTAAAAGTTACAATGCTGGATAATAAAACATGCTATAAAGTAATAAAATAGAAGAAATAAATACAATGAAGTTTAAAATAAAACAAATACAAGCGTAATAAACATTTATATATTTTATTTTTTATAATTGCAGTGCATTTACAATCCGTTAAAACTAGATCTAAAACAAGGTCCAGATTGTATAAGGTACACAGTTCTGATTTAATTGAATGTGGTGCAACATGCTATTCTGTGAGCAAGTACAAAGATTATGCGAGTACATAAAAAATTTGCATATAGGACCATAGTTACCTGTTGATTGATACCTGTCATTTTATAAATCTGTGTTTCGTCTGTATAATTATGGTAGGATTTCCCCATATGAGCTAGTGGGAGCATGTAGAGCAGAAGAGGCCTAAGAATGAAGCCTTACGAAGCTCCATGTTATTTTTGTACACTCAAATGTGTAATTACCAATACCCACAAAGTTGTAAAGTACTATATTGTGATAGACTGTGTTGAATACAGCACTGAGATCTAATAATACCAAGACTTCAGCCTTCAGTCTACTGTCTGTGTATAAGTGAATGTCTTTGAAGACCTTGATAAGAGCAATCACGTTGCTATAGTCGAAATCCTGACAGGAAAACATCAACACTATTGTTTACAGCCAAGAAGGTGCCAAGTGGGAGGTTTGATATGGGCCTGTAATTGTTCACAGCATTTTTTTCCGTCTTAGACATACGTATGCGCTGGTTTATGTTGTCATGTCAAACAAAACAGAATTTGAAAAATGAGAAGTTCCTCATAGATTATATTAGAAAAAAACAATGATCTTGAATGCTTTTAGTCATCTTCCCATCTGGTACAAATCAAGTGATGCTGCAGGTCATACTCTGGCATGTGTGCCGTCTCATGTGGAAACCATTTGACTGAGGTTTGCCACCAGTTAACTGAAAACATTTTAATTAGCCAAAAAATAAACTCTTAGCTAATGTGTGTCTTCTGAGTGGTTTAAGACAACCTTGATAAACAACTCTTACGCAACATAAAAGTTAAGTAAATGTTGAAGTAATGTGCGATTGTTTTCCCCTTTTCATTTTTAAATTAAACTACAAGCATTACTTGTCAGAAAAGAAACATTTCCAAGTTGAGATTGTATACATTTATTGAAAATGTACACATTAACAAAATGTATCCAAAAAAAAAAAAAAAAAAAAAAAAAAAAAGTACTTCTTGTAATCAAAGAACACTAAAAATACCAAACATTCCACTTAAGGCTCTTTAGCATCTGATATTTCAGATATGAAAAAATATGGCTAATTCACTTTTTAAATTACGATTAAGGCAGTTAACCAGTCTCAGTTTAAACAAACTAGAACCAAGAATTATTATTTTTTCTTAAATTAAGTACAAAATATTAGTTATTTAAATATACAATATAATTATAAAGACTTTTTTAAAACAAAACTCAAGAGGCCTAAAACGGCAGTGTCACAATAATTTAGAAGAGAAAATTTTGTGGCATTTTTACATGAGAACGAGGTTACAAAATGTAACAAAAACATTCACTCATTAAATACAATATGCCATTTCATGAAATACGACTATGGAATTGGTTAGGTTTCCACAAAATATGCTTTCCATGTAAAGAAAGTTACTTACATACCCTGAACTACGTCATGAACCCTGTATCAAATGTTAGAAAGAATCCAATACTTAATTGTTACGTTAAAGTAAATATCCACTAAAGCAAAACACTGTCACAATCCCAAGTGAAAGTAAAGAGGTTGTCTTCAAGTCTCAGGCTTTCCACTGGATGTGGAAAAATACAAAGATACAAAACACACAGAAGTGCAGTGAGAGGCTGAAGGATTTGTCCTGGCTTTCTTCCACTAACACACCTCATTTCTCTGGAATGAGATTGATATTTACCCAGTAAACCCCCAATGGACTCAGTTACAATAAATATCTTACAGTAGTTTAAATCAGGCACTTTGTTTTGTGCAGGCAGAGGGCAAAAGGCCAGTATAGTAAAGTGAAGTCTTCTGGCAGACAGTAGTGAAATCTAATGTGTGTAATATTTTTTTTGAAAGATGGTATGTTTAAGCACCAGCTGTGCAGTTAACAAAAACTGTGAACAACAAAAATTTCAAGAGGTATGTCTGAAGGATCTTTAGAGAGGGATTGTATAAGCAAACAGAGGCGATGTTTGCCATCAATAATTGAGGATCTGCACATCAAACAGGTCACACACTCCCTCATTGTCATCCAGGTTGAAGTTGTAATCTATACCTGCGTGAGGAGAGAGAAGCAAACAAACTGAATAGGATTCTTCCAGCTTGGAGTTCCCATCAGTCAAGGAAACTTGTGGATGAGACCTGTGTAATTGGCAACAGGTAGATTTGCAGTCGTCTTTTGAAGTAAATATGATACTTGGATTTTTTGACATTGAGAGTTAATTTGTTTAATTTGAAACCTTTGGAAATTCTTCCTAAATTAGTGTTAACTTTGGCCATCAGTACAGAGAAGTTAGTATGTGAGAGAAATAAATTGATTAGACAAAAAGTACTAGGAACATGGTGGATGATGCTACAGCCAGGGCATTCATATAAATAAGGAACAGGAGTGGTCCTAGAATAGATCGATGCAGGACCCCGCTTCTTATAATGGCCCTATCCGACGTCCATACAATAATGTTAACAGTTGTGTAAAACCATGTAGAAGTGATTCCAGTAAAACCATAATGTAACAATACTGGAGTAAGATGCCATGGTTAAGAGTGTCCATGTCAAAAGCTTTAGATAAGTCAAGAAATATTCCTAACCCATATTCATTGTTATTTAAAGCGGTGTGAATTCTGTGTTAAACAGTTAAAAGCACAGCTATTTCATTCCATTGTTGCAAAATCTATATTGGTGTTCATACAGGTTGTTCCACTCCTGCAGATGTTTGATTATTCTATTGTAAACCAACTTCTACAAAATCTTTGAAAAACATGGAAGGGCAGAAATTGGGTGGTAGTTTGTAAATTAACTTCGTCCGCCAGATTTAACCTGAAGGAAATACTTCAGCAATTTTAGGTGATTTCGTTTTACTCCAGTTTCTAGAGATTTGGCAAATGTTTCAGGTCAATGGCCTGAGAATTGAGGAAGTTTGATGACCCGACAGGACCTCTCTCTTTTTGGCAATGATGTCCATGGTTTCCTTCTCAATGTTAGCAGGCTAACATAAATAAACTAAGACTACACATTACACCTTCCAAATATCTGCATGTTAGCATTCTGACCTTTGCTCAAAGCACTGTTTAGTTTTTGTTGATTACCCTTCTAAATATATTGTAATAGCCAATTCTTCCTTAATAAAAAAGGTTAGTTAAGCCAGATTTTGGGACTCTTACCATCAGTAGACATTAGCTCATCAATCAGGTCAACAGCTCCTACAAGAGAATAAAATAAAAAAAAAAAAAGAGAGGTTTCTATAGTATAGTCAACCATTCATTATTAGAATACACAACAGCAATTCACAACCACCCAAGCTGGATGAAGCAGTGTATCACAACATTCAGCCATTCTCTCTCATCAGTCTGAGTAATAAATCTTGGGATCAAACCTCTGAAAAAAAAAAAAAAAAAAAAGCAAGCCAGAACCATAACTGAAACCAATGTGATGCAAACTTAAACTGCCCCCGAGCTTCACTGCTGGAAGCAATTGCAGAATAAACTCTGTTCACATCCCTCTGCTTTACCCTCTCTGTCGTCTTTCATGTGGTCTCCAGCAACACTGAGCTTCAGCAGGCTGCTCACGTCCAGCACAGACTGGAACTCTGGGCCCGCCAGGTCCATCTGCTGCTGCTCCAACACAGCTGCTGACTGATTGTGGCACTCTGCAGGTAGCATGGGAGGTGCAACAAGAATACTCCGTTAACAGTAATGCCACTTTTAGAAAAATTAAACCTGCATCATTACTACAAACAACATACAGGGCTGAATCAAAATGTGCACAAACTGGACTTGCAGCTTGTTTCTCATACCTTCTGCGACATGTTCAAATATGGTTCTTATTTTTTTTTTTTAATCATCATCATCATCATCCATATCCTTATGAATTGTCTGTAATTTTCTTAGTCAAGTGTGGTGAAGTTTTTATCCCCAGAAGACTCTCTGGAAGACTGCTTGATTGTGGATTTCCTATCAGCCCTCAGCAAGCGGGTTTGCCAAGTGTGCTGAAGTCCAGAAATTTGAATTCAGCAAGAGTTACAATTTGGGGAATGTGCATAATTACTTTTTTTCAGAGATTTAGATAAGAAGATTGACACTCTCATTTCTGTCATGTCTGTAAATATGAGGCTACAGCCAGCAGCTCATTAAACAGTAAACCACAGTAAAAATCATGTAGTAAATCTCTATTGTGTTACTGATTTTTTAAATTTTTTTTAAAAAGGAAGGTTTGAGGAGTGTTCTTCTTTCACAATGTGAGAGCAAGTTAGTTAACAGTTACAAATATAGTGACTAACCCTTTTCTCATAAACCTAGTTCCGGATAAGGAAGTGGTTTGTCTTCAAATGCAGTTCTCCTACCCAGGACAATTCCCATCACATGGTGTGGGAACAGATGCAAACGCAGTCAGGCTGTCATGTGATATAAAGACAGGATGCATCTTCCACATCATATTACAGAGATGCAATTCTGCCTGTTAACGTCATTGTCTGTGCAAGTAGAGAACAGTTTTGAAGTTTATCATATGCCAATCCACATCCGATTTCATTACAATCAGAATCTACTGTTGCAAACAGATTCAAAGATCACAGACAGATTACAGACATCAGTGGAAGAACTTTGCGGCCTTTCTTTTGCTTTACCTTAAGATGTTGTTTCTTTCTTACCACTAGAACTGTTGTGGAAGGTGTCTAGAAATCTTACTCACTGCCAAACTAGAATATTTTATACAAAAGAAATTAGACACACAACATTTACAAGTTAAGGTTGATGGAAAGGAAAGAAAATGCTTGTGAAAGGAGAGGTTGTAACCCTCCCCATTCCAATTTCAAGGAGAGTAAGTGTACCATGAGTGTAAAGAGTAAAAACGAAAGCTGGAAATTGCAAATTTGCTCTCTGATTTTCCTCTGCTCTCTTAATACTGAAACTTCCAGTGCATTCAGCCATTATGATATGACACAAAATAAAAGTGATAACTGTCAGCTACAAGTGTACCTGACTCATGGGGGAAGATGTTATTTCAGCCAGCCAGGATTTCAGAAAGAAAAATGAAACTGCCCCAGTGCAACAGTACTCTGGGGGTACTGTAAAGCAAGCTTCTTGGTATAGATGAATGATATATGTGAATGAATGGTTTATTTCGGTTTACAAAAGATGATTTATTCAATGTGTAAGAGATTTTTTGTGAGGCCTGTTTTATTTTTTATTTTTTTACTATTACTAGACATACTGTGTGGATTGAAAAGGTCAATTAATTAATTATCCTTTATTATATTTAAAGCTTTGACTGAATGTATAAACTATGTCTCTGCACAAAATATTATAATTGGAGTTTAAAGCTAAGCTTTTGTCCTAGAGAAGCCATTCGGTAACAATGGCCCGTGGTGGTTTTCAAGAGAAACTTAAATCTCCAAGTCCCTGTCCTTACCCATCTGTACATCAGGAGGGCTGGATGATGGCGTTAGTGCTTCATCATGTTCTGGCAACACCATCTGGTGGTCTGAGCAGAGAGAGTCCTGGCTGCAGTAGGAGGTGGTGGTGGTGGTGTTGGAAGTGGAGTACATGGACGTCGAGAGTGGGAACCTCTGCAGGCTAGCGGGGGTGCTGGGTGGAGTAGGCATTGGACAGATGTCATCAGTGGGCGGCACAGAGAAGACCACGGGTATTGTGGAGTCTGAATCCCTGTTGATGAGCATGACCTGGATGGGAGCTGAGTGGCTGCGTAGGTTCACCTGGTACTTCTTCTGATCACACTGGCCCTAAGGAGCAGCAGTATGGAGATACATTTACCAACTACAGCGGCTGTAATCAATTATTACTACATACACACAATGGATCACGTGTCTATTTCTGTGTGAAATTGTCTTAGTGACAAACAGAAAATTATCACATGATATTGCAGTTTGCCTCAGCTCTAAGACATAGATACAGTTAGCGACTACCTGGTGAACATGTTTGAGCATTTAGCAGCCAAAGGGCCTAATATTTCCCTCAAGAGGTTGGTAGACACCAGAAACAGAGCTAAAAGAGACTATTGGATTTACATTAATTAATGTGTCAAGAAACACAACTCCAAATAAATACATGTTACTCCATATCTGCTGGATGTTTAAATGGCCAACTGTTTGCTAACAAGTTTGCCAGATCAACTGAAAAGGAGAAACAGTGCGTAATGTTCACAGCTTGTTTCTGCTGCCCCCAAGTGGCCACAGGTGTAATTTCTTACAGAGGAGAGTAGTCATACAGACTGCGATGTTTATGAATCTGAGCCTCACTCCACAGACTGTAAGCAGGTATCACATGGAGCTGAACTTGGCACGTAAAAATTTCAGAGTGGCCTTTTATTGTGGCCAGCCTAAGGCACACCTGTGCAATACCCATGCCCACCTGTGAGGTGGATGGATTATCTCGGCAAAGGAGAAGTGCTCACTGATACAGATTTTGACGGATTTCTGAATAATATTTGAGAGAAATAGGCCTTTTGTGTACATAGAGAAAATCTTAGATCTTTGAGTTCAGCTTATGATGAATGGGGGCAAAACCAAAAGTGTTGCGTTTATAATTATGATCAGAGTATGTCTATTCTTGCAAAAGAAATACACACCAGCCTGTACAACCAAATGTGGTGAGAACCCTTTGCCTTATTGGCAAGACTGTTTTCCATTTCCAGCTAAACTTCACATGCCACAAGAAACGTATTGTTGCAACCGACTACATGTGGTTTACTTTGCCAAGTGGTAGGCAGTCTGCTGCAGCAGCTGTCTTGTTACTGTTAATATTCTTTATTTTATATACTTCTTATTATTTAGTTAACATGAATCTTTTTATCTGTACTTATTGTGCATTCTTGTCTTTCTGGTGACAATTACTATGAAACTACATCAATTTTCATTTATCCCAATTAATAAAGAAAGCTTGTGTGGAGAGACCAACCATTTCAGGTAGCGGTACCTCCAGCTGTGTCCCAGCAGGAGCCACTACAGCAAGAAGAGTGTCTCCACTGAAGGCACTGCAGATGTCTTCATGTGTGACAAACTTATAAGTGGAGAGGTGTTAAGGAAACAGGAGTAGGACCATATGAGAGCAAAATGGAGACAATAAGCTGGAAAAACAAGACTGAGCATTGTGCAAGTCAGGATTAGTCTGGCTGTGATTTCACAAGAGACTGACAGTGAATAGTAATTATGTTTATAATCCTCCCTTTATAGCATTTTCTCGCAAACAATGCTAAAAGGGTCAAGTGGGGATTCTTTTCTGTCTAAAATGAGTAAATGGGGCCCCAAGAGAACTAGAATTACAAACTGTAGAGAGAGACAAAAAGAATCAAGAATACAAAACACACCAAGTGACATTTCACTGGAATGACATCAAACAAGAAGTAGTAGTAAATTTGTAAGACTTCCAGTCCAGCAGTGAACTGCTTTTTGTAGGAATGGGGGGGGTGTCCAGTCCACTTTTAAACTTGCTTCAACCTGATGTGTTAAAAAAATGAAATTACAGTTTGTGCACCCAATATTACAGAACAGGCTGAGTGAAGAAAGGAGATCCAGAAAAATCCCTGACCTGAACTAAACAAAAACTGATCAACCTTTAAAAAAAACAAATACAAGCAAAACATCTCGATCTAATGCCAGACAGCATTACAAGGATATGTGCTGGTGATGGGATCCTGGTTAAGGTGTTTGATGTTCTCCTCTAGCCATGCCCTCTGGTTGTCCAGCTCTTTCTCTTGGGCCTCCAGCTCAGAGATTTGGGCCTTCAAAACCTTCACCTGACCTACTACCTCCTGAGTTTGGCTGCCCGAGCTCTCTCCCCTGGACACAAGAAAGATAACGAATTAGAAGAAACCATGAACATAAGTCATCTAGTCATGTTTTAACATTACATGTCAGTATTTGCTCTACAACATCCATTTTGGCATATTAACAGCCATCTTAAAATGCTTTTGATTAATCAGCTGCCGAGTCTAAGGTGAGGATGATGCTACTTTTCACGTACAGTAGAATATCAAGTGCTATAAAAACATTCACAATGACAATATTCAAAAGTGAAAAGATACTGAGAAGGCAACTAAAAATGTCAGTAAGAAAGTAAATAGTTTTTATTCAAACCTCCACTGGATTATGTTCTTGTTTTTCTTCTCAATTAACCCCACTCCTTCTAGTACGTTTGTGATGTCGTATATCCTCCTCTTCTGCTTCACTGCCAAGCTGTCCGCAGCCTGTTAATTCAGACATTTCCAGAAAGGGTCTTACTCTGTGGCAGCTTAATATGAACCCTTGTTGATAAGAGACATTACAGACACTTTTAAGAGGCATTATATGAAACCAAACATTTCTGTGGCAAACACTTCTTCAGGTGGAAAAAGAGAGAGAGAGACTCAAGCAAAGTCAATAAATGAAGGATTTGGTCAATTAAGCTGCACAAACAGCAAATTAAACCATTGGCAGAAGAGGACAGTTATACAATAGAAGAGGAAGGAGGGGGGGGAACAGGTCTGAGAAGCCCGCTGTGTAAACATTAACCAGCTTTGGCGCGCAAGAAGAGAGGGAAAACTACTTATCACTGTGATGAAAAGAAGGTAGATTTGTGGAAGACACTTCAGGTAGCTTTAGCAAAGCTACATCCACAAGTCCAAACACTAAAAGGCAGCTAGGTAGGCACAACAAAGTCTATCACAACCTTAATATCTGAGGAGAAGAAGGTTAAAAAAAAACAAAAAAAAACAACTCCTTGTATCTAGAGATTAGTAATAGCTGATAAAAAGACAGCAATAAGAAAAACAGAATGATTTAAAGGATGGCAGGAGACACAAAGGGACATGTACACTGCTGCTGCAACTAATGACTATTTTCATGATCAATTACTACATTGATCATCTTCAACATCATTGCTTAATCTATCAAAAAATTGTGAGAAATGTCCATTCCAGTTTCTCGAGTCTAAGGTGACGTCTTCAAATGTCTTGTTCAACCAATACCAAAGATATTCCCTTTACCTTAATAAAATCAGCAGCTCCTCACACTGGAGAAGCTGGAACCAGAGAATCTGGTTATTTTTTCTCTAAAAACAAAAAGATCAATTATCAAGATAGTTGCCAATTAATTTTCTGTCAGTTGACTTATTTTTGCCTCTCTAACTGGCATGACGACTTAGAAGAAGATTGTGCTGGACTACTGGTTTCCATTGTGGGTCAGGACACCCCACAGACACACAAGATAAATCTGATAGAAAAAAAAAAAACACATTATCACAATTTCTTCTCTTTCTCCCCCCCTTTTCTTTACATGACATTCCTCTTAATCTTTGTGCATTTTCCTATGTGAATTACTGGTTGTCAGTTTCATCTCCTCTGTGCCCTAAAATAAAAAACAAAACGATGTATCACTCTGTGGTTGTTATGGCCATAACCCATAGACATGTACTAGTGACACAGGGGTCAGAAGCAGACATTGTTTTGTTTCACAGTTAGAATCATGTCAGCCAAATGAGTAAATGAAAAAGATTGAGAGCCACTGTGCTTGACAGCCTGAGTGATGTCAAAGATGGTGTAATGTGGTGGTTCTCTAAATGCCCTCTGTGGACCTTCAGGGGACATTTAAGGGGGTTTCCGGGGAGTATGAATTTAAATGTGCAATTAAACTCAACTCTGATTTGATTAAATTAATTCCACTTAGGTAATTTCAACTTCTTCACAACTTTAAGTTTATTTTATTAGTTTACTTTATATCTACAAAAGGCGCGGGTGGGGGGTGTCAATAATCCATTTTGGTACCCTTAATCTCACTTTTATATAACGTTACAGTATAAAATGGGTTATTGCCATTTAACGTTACAACATGACTGCAAACTGGTAATTTAACGTAACTAACGTTACACACAGCCTCTGCAAAGCAGTTCAGCTTTTTGCTTCTTGGGAGTTGGTGTTAGTGAACCCACAAACGAGGAGGCCTGGGTAATGGCGGCCAGCTAACGTTACACCTGTTAAGCAAATCAATGCACCTGACAGGCTCAGTTTGTGATTGACAGCCCTTTGTTCTGGTATCTGGAAGGTGGCACTACAGAACACCGATTATTACCCTCACCAAACAAACAACCCACAAACAACACCGAGCCCTGCCCTCGTAGATTTTACTAACCACTTTCAAATCAAGGACGCCATCCTTAGCTTCTTGAAGCAGACTGACAAACTTCATCGTGAGGAGCCCCAAACTTTTCTCGTGGCGGCTCGGTGGCGAGCGTACAGTCTCCGTCGTCCCTAACTCCATCTTCTTTCTATAAAAGAGAGGGGCTACTTATTTTCTGTCAGCCGCCCGCGTTCAACTACAGAAAACGAACATCTCTTTCATGACTCTCACCTCTCGACGGGACGTGGCAGTTAGTTACCTGCAGGGTTTTTAAATCAACGGACGTTACGTTAGGTTACAGTTACCACAGCAACCCTTGTCCCATTGATGCCCCCCGCCCCCATTGGTGGCGCACTTCCCACCCATTTATGACCCCGCCCTCCCCGTTTCAACCGGACGGACCGCGGGACGGCCCAGTACCAGACCAAACCCTCCTCATTCTGAATTTGCATGGGAGCCGAAAAAGAAATGTTCATGAACAGTTAAGCAAATAAAATCTAAACACTCGTGGTAAGTTCAAATTCTGTTACTAAATCAAAATTATGACACTCTTGCATCAAAATGTTTAAGTCGAAATTATGAAAAAGTAAGTCTGATTCTAAGTATCATTTTATTTTGACAAATTATGTACTTTTTATTTGAATTTAGTCACGCCGTCTCATAGTTTTGACTCGAGAATAAAAGTTGACTTACATTCAGAACATATAACATTTTAGTTTATTAAAAGATGTATGTGTAAGACCCCTGCCAATGTAAAGTTATTAACTATGCTGTCATGTCTTCAGTTGTCTTCTATATGCTGATTTGACTTCTGAAGAGTAGATTTCTCATTGTATATATTTTTACAGTTCAAAAAGTAAACTGTCCATTTTGTAGATTCCTCATAACTGAAAACTATTTTATTCCTTTAGATTTTTGACAGGATGCATTGCATATTATTTCCCACTGAACCCTGCCTTCATCTTGTGTGACACAATTTTATCTATAATTTAAAAAAAGACAAAATATGCTCAAGAGAGATTTATTAGATAAATCATGATATACATAAACACAACTTATCATACAAGAATACAAGAATCAATTGCTTTATTAAAAAATAAATAAAACATAACTATCCTCTGGTGTTGAAATTCATACATTGCCATAGCTGCAAATATTTCCTGTATTAAAAGTCTTTTAGTACACTTGTGAGACGCTTCATTTTCTCTTCCATGATTCTCTTGTTAATTTCCGTCTCCTCCAGGAGCTGACGCATCTCCTCCTCCACTTCAAATACCTAAGAAGACACCCACAGACACAAACGGTCTCAGCTGCAGAAAACACATACAACTTGTTTTTAATAGTTCACGGCTTCTTTAGAGACTTTAAAAGTCTTGCTGGGTGAAATGCAAATAATCAAAATGGACACGATTAGAGTGAGACAAGAATCTGATTGAAACCACAGGATGGCCTCCTGTGGTTTCAACCAGTTTTACTCGTGATATTGTCATTTTATCACAGGGGTTTGTCCTACTTTCTTGCATTCATCATTTTCAAAATGTATTAGTTTGGTTTTTCTCAGATGCACAAAGGACCTGCAACATGATGATCTTTCCCATTATATAATAAATAGAGAATCAGTGCAGCAAGCAACAGAGGCCTGTAACCACTTTCAAAACGTCTTCTATTGAACATGGTGAATCAGGTAAAACACACAAAGCACCTGTTCTGCCATCCAACTTGGAGGAAAACTGGGCATTTCTGTGAAAAAGCGTCTATATTTTACCCTCTGATTAGCTTGTTCGATCTGTTTCTGCTTTTCATTCCCCAGTCGAAGTAGCTCAGCTTGATGGGCAACCTGGTCAGACTCCAGCTGTCGACGAAATGCATCATCCACACAGTGTAACTTCTCTACTGCAGCTCTGCAGGACAGACAACAGATAAAACATAATGTTTCATAAGTTAAGGCACCTGGACTGCCTTGGGTTCAATAAGCATGTGCATTTTTTTATGGTGGACAGCCCTAGATTATGAGTCTCCAAAGTTCTGTAGCTTTTGGGTTTGGGAGAGATATGGAAGAGGCACGTATTTAACAAATGCCCCAAAACATTTCAGAATGAGTCATACTGTATTTCTTCCTTTTAAGCTTTGGAGGGAAAGCATTTTGTTTTTATTCTTGACATAGACAATAACTTCCCTCTACTCTGGGATTACCTAAACTGCAGAGCTGTCCTAACCAGCTCCCAGCAGGTGGACAACGATAGGACAAACGTGAGAAAATTCTGGTAGATACTGAAATACAGAATGGAGAAAGCTTGATTTAAATTAAGTTTCTATGTTATTTTAAAAATGAACATAATTTAAAACAATTAAATAAAGCTATAAGCAATATCAATCATATGGGATATAAGAACTGTGACAGCTTTAATGGCAATTTAAAGCTACAATACTACTCAAAACAGACAACTTCCCTTCTAGTACATTTATCAATTTATGTATTTTGGTTATGTAAGTATGATCCCTAATTTTTCCATTCATACGAGGGATCCTGAGGTTCTTGATAACTGTGGTACCTACGGGCCCGAAATGTAACGGAACAGCACATAGGGAATTTGGCTCTGATGTGAAACTGTATCATACTTGTGTGCTTCTGTTGCTTTATCTCTTTCCTCCAGCAGCAAGCGTTCTTTGGAATCAAAGTTCTCTTTCATACGCTTCACCTGGCTCTCCAGCCGAGTGAGCAGGTCTGCCTTCTCCTGCCACTTCTTACTGGAATCACTAATAGGAAGAATAGATATAGAGACAAATATATAAAAGAGAACACAATGATGGTGAAGAAACAAAAGTATATGTTGGATGACATGTCTTAGGCTGTAGAGTAGTCTGTCCCTTTAAACATAAAGACTGGGGAGTTTGGGTTGAGTTTGGGCATAACAACATCAGGTATTCCTACTAAGTGATACTTCTAAATTACAATTTTTCAAATGCAGAATTTGTCTATGTGTTTGTGAAGGGATGCTTGCCTGTAAACTCTTTTGACTTCCTCAAGCTCTGCCTCCTTATCCTCCAGCTGCTGTTTCAGCTGCTCCTTGCGCAGGCTCAGATGTTCCAGACGCTCCCTGTGCTCAGCCTGCCGAGCAGTTTCCTCCTCCAGCTGCTGCTGGAGCTGCTTCTGGGCCTGACCCGCCTCCTCACGCAGCCTACGGATCTGATCATCACGCTCTTGCAAGGCCTTAGACAGCATGAAGGCAGAGGAGAAAGAGAAACTCCTTCAGTGCAGAGGATAAGACAGACAGATATATACATATACACAAATATACAACTCCCACGCAGCACTGATGATGAATTTAATGAATGTATTAGTAGTAGTGGCAGGTTTTAGTGTGAACACACCGATTTCAATAATCAAAGTATCCTCCTACCTCTTTGAGTTTGCGAATGGTCTCTGTCTGGTCATCAATGATTCTGGCTTTGATTTTTAGGGCATCATTGTCCCTCTCGTTCTGTTTCTTCTGAGTCTCCAGCTCAGCGCCCAGCACCTCTATCCTGGCCTCCAGGCGTCCACGATCCTGAGCCAAGGACGCTCCTAGTGTAGAGAAATACATCAAATTATCTCTCATGACAGCACTTAATGTTAAACTTTCCTACTTCAAAGTCTATCATTTTTTTTATCTATTTGTATTATTTCATTCCTTATTTTATTTTTCTTGTCTCTGCCTTTAAAATTTTGTTTTTGTGCATTTTAATGCTTTACATAAAGCTTTTTGAAAAAGTCCACTGTGAACAATTTACTTACTTAACCATGCCCAAGTGTGTAAGAATGTGTTTCTCTAAATAACCACTAGATGGCAGGCTTTACTTGATACAGATGAAATAAACCATCAGAATGTACAGCACAGTGTTAAGCCATACAGCTAATGTCTCCTTCATACTGAGTCTAAAGTAGAATCTCCAAAATGTCAAGAGTGACTCACTCACAATGAATTAATAATTAAGACAGACCGGCACTAGTGTTTGTTGATACATGAACTGGTTGTTAATGTGTGTCATGCCGCATAAAGTTCATTGAAATTGGACAACAAGTGCCTCCCCACCCTCTCAGACATCTCCCACCTTGCTGAGCGAGCTCCTGGCCCCAGATCCTCCTCTCTGCCCTGAGGCCGTCTATCACAGACTCCTGAGCTGTTAGCTGAGACAACAGTCGGGCCTTGTCTTTCTTGAGCAACTCGAGCTGCAGGCCGAGACGCCGGTCCTGCTCCACTTCTGCTTCCAAGGAATGCAGACGGCTCTGGCAGAGGGACAGTCAGAGAGACAGCATTAATGATCAACGGCCATCTGTCATGGCTGACAGATGGAAAGGCAGCAGGACCATTCAGTATTCATGACGTCTCAAAGTAGACTGTCTCCTTCAGGCTCAGGCTGAACAATTTTTAAAAAGGCAATGACTGATGCCCAGAACTGATCATCTAAGTTGTATTTTATATATAATGCAGTTTTTTAAAACCTGCTCAGACAAATTATTCTTAATTTCCTAGAAGCAATGAAGAAAAAAATTCAGTCATGTCTCACTCGTTTCCTTTCATGCTGTACCTTTAGATCAGTGACAGCGTCTCTCTTTGCTTTGATGAGTTCAGAGATGCGGCTCTTCTGTTCTTTGACCATAGATGTGAGCTCCTGCACCAGAGAGCCAGACTTCTTCTCCTTCTGCTGTGACTGGTCCAGGGTCGCCTTGAGCCCCAACATCTCTGCCGTCATCTGATCACAAACCTCCTTTAGCTACAGAAGCAGAGCGGGGATGTGCAATTGAGTGTGAATTAGACATTTAGGAGTTAAACCGAGTGAAGGACTTTTGATCTTTTGAAGAGTTTGGCTGGCAATCCGCATCTTATTCAGACTTTTCCACCGGTCAAAGGTTGGAGACTTCAAGTAGAAAATGGCAAGAGATAACTATCCAAATTAAGATTACATTTTGTGCAGAGGCTGAATGAAATCTCTAACCATAACGAGAAAGTACCGATTGATTCAAATCTAATCATTTGGTGTAGTTTTCTTCCTGTGGCAATCACTTCACTACTTGTCCAGAGTGATGATCCTAATTCAATCTCAGCTTTCACCATCAGACTGAAACATCCACTAAATCGATCTATATTGGGTTCAATTCCAGTTCAGTCATTTCACTTTTTTACAGTCATCAGCTGGACTGTACAGAGAGAGAGCTAGAGAAAAAGTTAGGACAATACTTCAGTGATTACAAGCCCTCTGTATGGCAGGTGTCGATCTTTTAGTATACCTCAGAAAAGCGAGCAGCCTCGATGGTTAGTGCCATGCGGAACTCGTCCTCCAGCGCAGCATACTGTTTCCTGC